CTTTCAAGCCTTAGTATACCCAAGGTTAACCCCGATGAATCACTAGAATCAAACCATAGAAATCACCCAAAAGGAAGAGAGAACCCTACAGCACAGAAAAGCCCTAGAAAACGAGAGAGAAGGAAGAGATGTTTGAAATGAGATGAAGTGTCAAATCAAAATAGAAGGCAAGGAAGAAAATATCTCATCCAATTAGATCTCAACCGTCCAGTCCATCCAACGGTTCTAACAAAACCAAACTAGTACAATCCATGTCACAACAAGGATACCAATAGGCAAACACCACCTAAGCAGCTGGGTCACACAACAAATAACACAAATAGCACTGGTCCAACTAGAGTTAGGAGAACCATAATTCTCACAATCTATTTCATATATTTTCATATAATTCTATTTCACATATTTTGTGGCATAAATCAATCCATCTGGCGCACTTCGAAACCTATTTTTCCTTTATACCCAAAGGTTTGATGCACTCAATGATCATAATATAATTGCTCAATTGTCTTTATTATTTGTTCTCTTTTTGACATTATTCTCAATTAAACTCTCTTCGTCAATTATATATTATAAAAAAAAATTGAGAGTGATAATTATTATGCTTTTTTATATATACCTTATGCTCGTGTTCTTTGCTTTATTTTTCTTTATGTTTGCAAAATATATATATTTATGATGATTGCTAAATATTCTTGGTATATTTAACCTGATTAAATATTTTTTGATATTCTTTTATAAACATTAAATTGATAATGTATCTCGTTGTTGCTCTCGAATATGTACATCTCTATGAATATTAACATTTAGCTATTATATATTCTTTCAAAGAGCTAATATTTTTAAATAGTAGTATGTTGCTAAAATATTATTTGTTTTTTAAGAGTATGACATTATAATTTTAATATTTTAGAAGAATATTGACATATTGTTCTTAAAAAAGCTATAGATAACATCATTTAAAAAATGATAATAAAATCATTTTATTATGCTATCAAAGTAACACATGTCTTGAAAAATATATCATGTGTAACTTATGAATTAAAATTTATCCATGAAGGAAAACATACAATTCATATCAAGTAGACATTAGTTTATACGATTATATCATATTTAATCATATTTTTCGAAAATTAATTATGTCCTTTGTTTGATTGAATAATTATTCAAATGACGAACATCACAAAATTTGAGTTTATTGCACTCGACTTATCAAGAAAAAATTATATGCCATAGACTCTCGATGCCTAAATTCATCTTATCTCATTGGGTCTAGAGAGACAATGAAAGAATAATATAAAGAATCCTTATAAGATGATGCAAAAACACTTATTATTTTTTTCTGCGTCACCATATTCACGATGGATAGAAGATCGAATACTTCCCCAGATCCATAAGTTCTTTGGAAAATTTAACTGAAAGATTTGACCATTATAGGACTATGGTCTTCCCCAAAGTCTACTATGAATGGATGTCTATTCGTTTGCAGAATTTTTAAAATGTTAGTGATTGCAACTTTGAACTATTCAAAATATTTCCAAATTAACTATGTAGAAAAAAAACTAATGAAGATATGTTGAAAAAAAATTCTCCATTGTGAATATGATTTCAAAAATACTCATAACTCATATCTTGAATGCTCGTAACTTAACAAAACAATGAATTATTGATGAAAAACCATAGGTTACATCCAACTGATTCTGTATCATTTTCTGAAGAAAATGGTATCGCATTGCTTGAAGCAAATGTAATATCAAGAAACGGACGTCAACATAGACATGGACGTTGACACGAATGTGGACGTTGACATGGAAGAGATTATGGATGAAATAATCAACAACAAGGCAGTAGTTTTAAGAAATACAAATCAAATGAAAACCACTCATCCAAAAAAGAGAATGAATAAAGTTGTTTCAAATGTGGAATGAAATGACATTAAGCACGTCCTTATCGTATGACAAAGCATCTTATGGATCTCTACCACAAATCAATCAAGGAATACAATTATCATTCACTGTTTAATATATAATTCACAATACTTCCCTTGAATGACTCGTTACATATTACATGTCTTGTTAAAATCCTGTTTTATAAAAATTCAGTGGAACTAAAATATCAAACTAAAGAAATAATATATTTATATTTTGGAGTATTAAAAATAAATGTTGCTTCGTTAAAACCTTGCTAGAAAAACTCAGTGGAATAAAATCTAAATGAATGAAAAAGAGTAGAACTATTTCTTGATGTTGATCGTCAAAAATCTTTGAGTCAACACATTCATATCTCATGTACCAATTTCTTGGATATAGGCATTGGTAATGCATTTGTGAATAAGGCAGACACATTATTATTTGAGCGAATTTATTGAACTTCAATATCACCAGTTTTTTTGAATTTCATGTGTATAGAAGAATTTTGGAGAAATGTGTTTTGTCTTGTTTCCTGTGATATGGTTTCATTTGAATTGTATAATACAAACTGTATTATCTTCATATAATTTTGTTGGATTATCTTTTATTGAAATTAATCCACATAATGTTTGGATATAATGGCCACGTTCCTTAGCCATACACATTTTCGACTTACGTTATGAATTGTAATAATTTCAAAATAATTTGAAAATGATGTGTTAAGGTTTGTTTCACGATTCTCTATGATATAGTTGTTCCAAGCACATGTAAGTACATATCATGTTTGCGATTTACTTCCTTTTCTCTCTATTTTGACTTCTATTAGCTTCTATTTTCTTCTCTTTTAATGTGTTTATGGGCTTCCAGTTTTGCCAAAATACATATCTTGTTGCTAGCATGGTTTGCAGATTGTGTTGGTTCAGTTGATGTGACTCACTTAGATTTTATCCAACTAGGTTTTCATCACAAGATTTGAATGAAGCAACATTTATTTTTAATATTCCAAAATATAAATTTAGTCTTTTCATTCATTTGATATTTTTTTCAAATGAATTTTTATCAAACAAGATATTAACTAGACATGTATTGTGTAAAGTTACTCAAGGGGGAGTTAAATAGTGAATGGTCATTGTATTCTTGGAAACCTAGTTATTATAACTATTGTATCTTTTGCAGCCATAATTCTTTCTTATAAATATAGATTTTGGTTCTCAATAAAATACACACATTTCTATTGATTTCTCTACATTCTCTTATCATTTTTTTCTCTAGACATTATTAAGCCCATGTTTGATGGTGATTAAAAATCAATTTTTTAGTAGATTTTGATAGAAGTTGATAAAATGTGTAGTTGAAAAGTTATGAATCATATGAATTATCTGGTTAAAACAAATTGTTAACTTTGACTTGAATCAAAATCTCGATTTTAATTTTTACCAAGGAATAAATATATTGAACAATTTTAGCCCATTTTTGGTTAATGTTTTATAATTGGTTAGCTCAACCGGCAAGTGTTGTCCTTCTATTTATCACTCATTTTTATTCATTTATAATTTAAATAGTTTACCTACACTTTCCAAGCAAGTGGCTTTATTTATTTATTTTTTCCAAGTCCTCCAATGTGAATACCACATCAACATAATTATTAACAATCAAGTTGGACTCTCGGATCGATTCACTAACTGGAATGAACATAGTGATAATGTGCGAACATCTTAAAAATTTAACGATCAATTTAATACAAAATAAAGCACAACGACCAAAGGAAAGTTTTCTATAAGATGAAAAGTTTAATCCTTGTTAAACATAAATTTGAACAAAGTCTTTGACCAGGTTAGTTTTAAGAATTTTATCCTACTCTCTCTACTAAACGGATATCTAATCCAATCAAAATTCGTCCCTTTAACGTTGTTGATTCATGTTTCCATATGTATACATATAATTCCTATTCCTTGTGTGATTCTAACCACCTAGAGCCCTCTATATGTACATGCACAATATCTTCAGCCCTTTCATTCAAAAACTCCCAAAGCAATATACAATATACACAACCAAATTCTTTTCACTCACAGTAGAAGAAGATCAGAACTGTTCAGTTGTTAATCCTTATGTTACAGACGACTCATCTAGTGTTCCCAGAGGCAGAGATCGTAGCCGATAATGGATCTAACGCGAAGCTGCCAACAAGAAACTCTGCAATTCTGTAGCAGATGCCAGGAATTTTATGGAAGCCCACAAAATCATGACCTGTGTTCAAAGTGCTATCAAGATTTTCTCAAAGAAAAGACAGCCAAAACTGCAGAAAAACTATGCTTCAAGAAAACAACTGCTTCCCCCTCCTCCTCCAGCCCTTCAGTTTCAACTAACCCGTTAACCGATTGTTTTTTAACTAATGCCATGAATGAACTTACAAATAATGAAACTACTCCTCTCCCAATTGTGAAAAACAGATGTAAATCTTGTAACAAGAAGGTTGGATTGACAGGGTTTGGTTGTAAATGTGGGGGAAGTTTTTGTGGGATGCATAGATATCCAGAGGCACATGCATGCAAGTTTGATTTCAAGACTCCGGCTAGGGCTGTTCTGATGAAGGAAAATCCAGTCTGTAAAGGAGATAAACTCATGGATAGGGTTTGATTTCAAGAAGGTTCTTTGTTTCTTTAATAATTGGAATGTATCATCTCTCTCAGTTGTAAATTTAGAATGTCTTGTCGTTCTTTCCCTTTACTGGGAACGGGCCGTAGTATATTGCTACTTGTTGGAATATTTCAATATTAGATGCTTCTTCTAGATCCTTCTCCTATTTGTTATGTAACTAGTTTGTTAGAAATTTACTCTATAAATAGAGCAATGTATTCACATTATTACTTGAGTTTGATGATTAATAAAGTGTTCTTTCTCAAGTTCGTTCAATATGTTTTCATATTGAATCTATCCTTTAATTTCTAAATATGGTATCAGAGCAAAATGCTCCTTCCATCTGCAACTCTGTGACTTTCTTCCACCTTCTCTCATTTTCTCGCTTGTCCCAAAAACCTCTAGTTTCTCCCACCATCAATGGCTTTGGAATGGGTTGTTCTAGGCTACGTTGCGGGAGCAAAGGCGATCATGGTCCTCCTTCTAACCCTTCCGGGCATCGACCCGCTTCGTAAGGGACTGATTAGCGTCACTCGAAGCAAACTGAAGCCGTTCATGTCCGTCGTACCATTTTGTCTCTTCCTGTTAATGGATATTTACCGGAAGTACGAGCATCGACCCATTTGCGAGTCTGATTCTTGCTCCCCATCTGACATCTCCGCCACCAGAAATCCATCATGAAATCACAGCGTAATGCCCTGTTAATCGCATCTGCGTTGCTGTTTTACTGGCTTCTTTATTCCGTCACGGGCCTTGTGGTTAAGATGGAACAGTTGAAAAAGCGTGTTGAGAAGCTCAATGCCCAGGATTGATTTTGAACTGGGTTGGATGGCTGTGCTGGATTGGAGATTTGGGGATCTCAGATAAGTCCATTAATCAAAAGTTTTTTTTTTGTTAGTAGTTTTTTTTTTTTTTGGAACAATACATTTTTAAGGTATTTACTTTACACTTTTTCAAAAATACAAAAACAAGTTTGAAAATTCACAAATCAGGTTTTTTTTATTTTTAATTAATAATTAATGAATTACTAAATCAATTTATTATTAAATATTTAATTCTAATTTAA